AACCTTATTGTTAAAGTGTTACCATCATAATCTTTCATCATAAAGTAATAACTTGATAACCTGAAACACTTTTTCCTTTTTGTTTACTGCGTTGCATAAACATCTGGGAAAAACTTTATGTGGAAATCAGTTTATCAGTTATTAGAGTATTAATAAAGCCTTCTGGTTAATGTCTGCTGACTCTTTATTTCGATGCTCCTCAACAGACTATAACTGCAACTACATGTAAACTTATTATATACAAACTATAACTGTATTATTTTACTAATACTGAGAGTGAGTTGACATGTACATTTATTTCTGTCCTCTATTCATGTTTTCGCTCTAGTTTTTGGGAAGTTATATTGAAATTACTTACAGAACTTTAATTAAACCATTGAAAACACAAGGAAGGGGAAACAATTATCACAATAAAATATTTAAGTGGTTAATAAACAAAAGCAATATACAAATCATTATATTATTTGCATATGAATGTATAGAGAAAAACACAAACTCCATCATATAGGACACTTCAACCCTCAGCATGAATATATTTATAATGGATTATGTGTTTTATCACTGTTTAATACTGGAACATAATTTAAGATTCCTCTCTGAATTCAGAAATGACAAAATTTAAATTAACTCACAATATCACACACAAAATCAAATCCAATGAGTTAAGCCAACTCGATTGCCTCAATTCATTTGATCAAGTTTATAAAAACAATAGTTATGAGTACTCTGAAAATATTTCAGTTGAGTTCACTAAAAGTTGATATTGAAGTCAAGAAGTTAAGTGATTAATTAAGTTATTAATTTAAGTGATGATATGAGAATTACTGCTGTTAACAAGCAGAATCATAGAAGGAAAGAGAAACACACGAACTACAACTGACATCCAACCACAACATTAGATGAAATCAACTGAAGATAAAATATGTTTTAATTCTCTCAGCAGAGGATCAAACAGCATTACCAGCTTCACTTATTAATAGCCAGTTTGACTTTTTATCATGGGTCGACAGAAGGTGTTATTGTGAATGTTTAGATGAAGATGATTTATTGAGTTTCGTTTAAAGCACCATGATAGCGGTCAGTGTTTGCTTTAGTTGGGCTCTTGACCCCTTGACATTGTAACACCAGACTTTCCTCTGGCTGCTGTAACTGAGTGTTTATGCAACACGTGTGTTTATGGCACGAACATTTTAGCATGTGGTTGTGTTTTGATGATGAGTTATGGAATGATGAATCAACATTTGGTGTCTTGATTCTCTGATATTTTCTGGAGAATAATCACTGATTAAACAGGTGATATACAACTTGTATTATTAACTGTGATTCTGTTGTAAAGCCCATTGTTGTTACAATCAGATTTTAAAAAACTCTATTGGTATCGTGCCGACTTACAGAATTTAAGAATCAGCATATGAATCTCAACAATGGTGACCAGTGAAAAACAATTCATGCAGCAATGCATGCTGGGAGCCATGGACAAGGTTTGTACCCAGCATGCATTGCAGTATGAATCATTTTTAATGGTCACCATTGTTGAGATTCATTTGCTGATTCTTGATATCTGTTAGTTTTGCCAATGAATTATATTTCTGTAAAATCTTCAAACTATCTGATAGTCACAACATTGTTAGTGCTTGTGTTGTAGAATCTAGTTTTGAATACAACTAATAATGTAATCAGAGATTTAGATCTGAAAGTGATCAGTGAATCGAGTCATTAAATTATTGCCATTATCCTTTTTTCCTTGAATATTTGTGCGATAATAAATATTTCATCAACACTCAATTATAGCATCCACAGAATATCTTGTACTCAAATGTTAAGGGTCAAGAGCCAAACTAAAGCAAACGCTGACCTCCATCACAGTGACCTTAAACCTTGAATTTCTTGTGTTTCTCTTTCCTTCAGTGATTCTGCTTGTTAACAGCAGGTATTCATCCCTAATGATCAACTGTCACTTAATTTATGATTAATTACCTTAACTATTCAATTATCATTCTGGGATCTACATATGTTCTATAACCCATTCAGGTTGAGTTCACTATTTCAGTCATTCAAGCCACTTCAAGTTTCGGTATTATTTGAGTGCAGTGAACTCAAATGACGTGTGTGATTTTAATGCATTTATATATAAGAGCTCATATTTCCATAGATTCAGTGCTGGATATTGTTATATCTTTCTCTTCAGACCTGAAACTGTGAGATGATGTGCAGAACAACAGAAGATTATGATTATTTGTCTTAGATCTGCTATCAGTGCCTTTATACATGTGTCTAATACAAACCCACTGATGGAGAAAACACATTTGTGGACTTATGACTCAAAAGAGAAACTGACCTTCTAGAGATGAACATAAATTGACCTCTTTTGACAAAGAGCTGAAACGTCGGGACATTGAATTCCGTTGAGCGGTCGGTGATCTGGGGACTGAAATGGAAAGCTCAGTTAGTTTAAGACTATAAATAAATGCTTTAAATAATTCCCAACACTTGTGTAATGCTTACGTCCACTGGATGCTGTCTCCTCCAGTGTGTGATATTCATAAAGTGTGTGATCATCCTCCAGTGTCAAGAGATTATAGTTGTCAAGTTCAGTCTTTTTAACTGTGAAGGAACAGTGAACACAATAGACCCCTTTCAATGTTTGTACACATTGGAATCCTCTGTTGGGTGCGCGCGCAGCATGGGGTCAGAAAAATGGTGCGGCTAATAGACCGGCATGATATTGTGTCAAGTTATGCACTGTCTTTACCACCACAGGAACGGGAACATTACCATAACAAACTTGTTTTAGTTAATGGCGATTGTCTCCCTGATCCCGAGCTCATAACAGAATGGGTAGACAACGTCAGTAAGTGGCCAGATATTCAATGGCCTGCCATATACAGCTATCTGGTGGACAAGCCGAGTGTTTACACACGCGAAAAACTCAAAGCCTACAAATCGCTAGACGCGTATAATTACGTAGTTTGTGGGCATGTTCAGACGGTTTTATATAACAATATAAGCGATGACTTTTGTGTGTTAAAAGCCGAGCCAGCGACAGGGGAAAAAGACCTCTATGTACAAACCCTGGGTTGTGATCAACAAGCGGGAAGGCTACATCCATACTGCAAATTGCACCTGCATGGCAGGGTAACGTTAATTATTTATCATAGTGGAGACGGATGCACTGTAGACTGATTGACTTGATGGTTATATTTCCCTAGAAAACTGTCACGACTAGTCACTAATCACTTACCCAGCATCCGTCACCTTTCCTCCAGGGTCATTCTTGCTAAACTAAACGTGTGTCTGTCATTCCACCAATTATCGCTGAGAAATGTTGAAAATCGCGTCAGTGCGTAATGAAAAACAAAAAAAACATTAAAAAAACTCATTAAGACACAACACACGGTTAGAACAAGCATGCACAGTGTACATAGCCGATGTAAAAAATACATAAAACAAAAATCATAGTAGGCATGTTATCGTTAGTATTTATCGCAAGTTAGTATTTATCGACGCAACAAGTAGGCATGTTGACGAGAAATTCTCCGGTAGCTGGTTTAAACTATGGTTACAGCACGATGGAATTAACTTTTCTGACCCCGACATCCGCACTGCGCACCGCAATTTTTCTGTGACGTCAACCGTGAAGGGGTCTATAATCAAAAGTATTTTACACTCTTCATCATAAAGTTTCAAGTTATATTGCCACAAAATGAAGCACAAAACTCATACAAAATAACGAAATGTCAATTAAAAAGGTCTGATGCATATGAACGCTGTGACATGTTATTGTAAAAATGTGTGTAATACCACTGATAGAGAAACAAGCATTTGTGGACTGGTGAAACTGCTGACCTGCTGACCTATGAACGGGAAGAGAGTCACACGGGCGTTTCGCTGTAACAGAGCCTGAAATGAAAAGTTCAGTTAGTGTAAGACTATATAAATAAATGCTTTTAATAATGTCAAATACGTGTGTGAATAATGCATACTTCTACAGCGTACTGCGATAATATGACCCTCGTGTTGAACGCCGTAGAAACCCAGTGTGCGATTCTCCTTCAGTGTCTTGAAGCGGTGGCGAAGAATAGTGTCCTCAACTGTGGAAGAAACATGATGTAGCAAATTAGCTCTTTGAAATATGAATAATATTACTATAATTGATTATGAATATTTGGATCAGTTTTATTAATATATTAAATATCTGCAGCTGGATAGGTTGCTGATGAAGATGCTATGAAAGATTCTTGTAATACTAATATTATGTTGCGCAGCTATCAACACACCATATACATGATCATGTCGATCTTCAAAGTACCAATTTATAGAGACCACCAAACTATGCGTAGGTGACCATCGATTGTGTCCGCAGCATCAGGAAGTGTTGCGTGATGTCAGGTCTCACGATGTAACGAACTGCTTTACGGCAAGAAAGATCTGCTAAAATGAGAAATAACCCGGCGCCGTATACATATATGATGTTCGAGACGCATACAACACAGTTCGACAGCGCGCAGCTCTTAAAGGTGCCACACCTTATTTCCACTCGTTACAGCTTCCATCTTACTGAACAGGTAGCGGTGTAGGGGAAGGGGATCAGGCCGTGAGCGCAGAGACAAATGTGCGTCAGTGCTATCTACGACAGTACAAGTACTCCACAGGCAAAAACAGAAATCCTGCATAGTGCTGCTTTAAATATAATCTGATCGTCGCCCTGACGACTGAAACCTTTCATGCTCTCTTACAATGGGGAACAACGAACACACACATGGTAAATGGTAAATGGACTGCATTTATATAGTGCTTTCATAGACGCAATGTCACCAAAGCGCTTTACAATGGGCGGCAGTGGCTCAGTGGTTCATGTGGGTTGTCTACGAACCGAAAGGTTGGTGGTTCAATCCTCGGTTCCACCTGACCAAGCGTCGAGCTCTCCATGAGCAAGACACCTAACCCCAGCTGTGTGTGTGTGTGTGTGTGTGTGCATGTGTGTGTGTGTGAGACACCTAACCCCAGCTGCTCCCGACGAGCTGGATGGCGCCTTGCATGGCTGACACGGCCGTCGGTGTATGAATGAGTGTATGAATGGGTGAATGTGAGGCAAATGTAAAGCGCTTTGGTGGCCATTAGGTCTATGAAGGCGCTATATAAATGCAGTCCATTTACCATTTGCCTCACATTCACCCATTCACACACTCATTCATTCACACACCACACACATCAGAGAGCGATATTTCCTCATTAATATTTGATTTCTGAATTATGTTCATTTTCAAACTTCTCAATCTCATTCGCCACGAAAAAATGTCCCAATACGTGGACGTATTCCTCCCATGTTTGGGTCTGACTGTCAAAAGCAGTAAGTGTTGCTATCGCAGTAGCCATCTCGACGTTTTGGTTCTCGTCAACCCACTTCCTTTAAATTTTCCTCGCTTTCGAGTTGAGCTTTCCGCGACTGCGCAACTGGGGTATGTATAGGTTGCCAGGTTGAGATGACAAACGTCTGGATTGCGTGAATGTAATGCATTTAATACAAGATCTGGCAACTGGTCAACATTAGACAATATTTTGGTCCGATTATTCATAAAGGAGTTTGGGCCATGCAAATTACGGGAGTTTCCCAGGAGAAATAACAAACCGGGAGAGGCCCGGGAGATGGGGCTAAAAACGGGAGAAACCCAGGAAAACTGGGAGTGTTGACAGGTATGGCGGGGCGACTCATGATCAGAGTCAGAGAGTGCACTCTAAAAAATGCTGGGTCGTTTTAACCCAATTTTGGGTCAAATATGGACAAACCCGAAATGTTGGGTTAAAAATGTAATGTAAAAATTTAACCCAACGGCTGGGTTAGTCCATATTTGACCCAAAGTTGGGTTAAAACAACCCAGCATTTTTTAGAGTGTGGCTAGCCTCCTAACGCCAGACTCAATTCTCGTTGAGACTTGGGTTTGGGAACCACATGTACATTTTCTCGTATTTGAGGCGTGGTTTACGAATGCCCGGCGTCGTTTCTTGGGTGCTCAGAATGTCTATCAAACGCACCTGTACAGCTCATAGCCAATCGTTTCAATTAGAAAAACACAAGTATTAAGTACAGTTTAATATAGATGTTGAAGTTGTTATTTGCATTGGAAATTGTTTGCGCTTGTACTTCACAAGTTTAAAAACATAAAAATTTAATTTAATGACTAAAGTCAACAACTTTAATCGGGTACGTGTGCACGGCTGAAAGTTATGCTACTAAAGCGGTAGCTGCTGTATATTGATATTGAAAAGCAACACAACTCAGTGGCACTGTGACAACCACAGTAGGAAGTCTACAGGCATAATGGCCATATGATATTAATAAATACCACTTACCATTTATAAGTTAAATAGACTTCGTCGACGACGATGCCTAGCAGGTTGGTACTATACAACTCCGTGGCTAACATGTCTTGCCACTTTGCGCTCATCCAGGCCTCGGGACTGCCGAACAGAAGTTGGTATCGACCATTCTTTACCGCATTTTCTTTCTCGGGCCACAGCCGAGCGGCAGATATTCCCAGGCTGACCGCCTCCTGTACCGGTCCTCCATTAGGGCGATTAATGGCGAGACAACAATAACGACTGGGCTCTCGCGAAGTTTAACGCCAGAAACGGCTCTTTTTTCTAAATAAACTTAAACTACTTCTAAACTACTTAAAACAATATCTAAGGCTGCATCAAAAGCTTTGCATCTGCTGCCATGTTGAGTCCATAGACAAACTGCTTCGGTGTGAGGGATAGATATCGTCATCGTCTCGCTGCTCCCTCCCCGTTCTGTGAATGATTGATTCCCTAAATGAGGAGAAACGGTAACGGTATCCAGACTGCCTTTCAGTGTGAATTGAATCGCGCTGCGGTAAGGCAGTATGGGGAAACCCAGACTAGAGAGTGGCACCACCACCACGTCCAGCTGGAAAACTTCTGCAGTCCCTAAAGGGCTTCATGCCCAGCTGCACTACTTCCTGAACTTCAGACAGCTCCTTGTTTCCTGTCTGCCATTATTGGCCGAACTTGATTAATCCAGGTGTGCTTGACCTCAGTAGTCACAGCAACAATAATCAGACACACCTGAATTAATCAAGTTTGGCCAATAATGGCAGACAGGAAACAAGGAGCTGGCTGAAGTTCAGGAAGTAGTGCAGCCAAAGAACGTATATTGACAAGAAGTGAAAGCCAATAGAACGTTCCACACTGCAACACCAGCGCCAGCAGCAGCCCTACGCTTCCGCCATTTCGGGGTGAAAGCGACTCGGCAGTCATATAATATACATATATTTAGTCCAGTGCAGAGGTCATTTTTAGGTTGAAATAATTAGGTGATTATTTTAACTCACAACAGTTAACGTTATAGCAGTTTAAAATAAGTTGCTGAACCAGAATTTTTCCCCCACATAACTTGAGACAGGGAAGTTCAAGGATTGAATTAATTATTGCTCTCCACATTAAGTGTGACAGGTAAGAATAAAGTGATATCAGTTCATAAAGTTGTAATACCATTTCCAAGAGATACACATAACGGTATACAAAAATAAGTTATCAATGAAATAAATGAATTCAGCAAATAAATTTAATTGTACTAAAATGTAAATGTTGGACAATAAATATAACAGCAATAGTAAACAAATAGTAAACTCTTTTTTGCAGTATTATCTTATATTAATGACCGTTAAAGCAAGACTATGTAATAAAAAAACAAACAAAAAACACTAACGTTAAAGTTATAGGATAACAGACACAGAAATGCATCATGTTCTATAAGATCATCATGTTTGTAGCATGATCCAGGCGATTATAACATACAAAATATATGTCAGGCCTAGTGGAGTTGGTAACTAATAATAGTAGTAAAGGTGTAAAGTTGCACAAAACGGAAATACTCACTAATGCAAGAAAAAACTACCTCAAAAAACTGTTATCTGTGCTGTTGTCCAGTAACTCCAGTTATTATATATATTAGTAGTTATTATTTATACAGCTCTTGTCTGCTGTGAACCATGTAAATATTGTTTGTTGTAAACTTTCAGTTTCGAGTTGAAGCGGTTAAAGTCACGATGGCGTCCGATCTGAGGAAAGAGCTGGAAGAGTTTCTCAAGCGTCTGAATATCGACACGACCTGCATCGACCATCCAGAGGTGGGAATATAACCATAACCATAGACAGTTTAACCGGAGTTAACACGGAAGTGGTCGATGACACGTGTGTGAGGAGGAAATCATATTCACGACACAATTCGAAATTATGACATATATCAATTTATAGATACAAATAAAAAATATTTAAAAAAAATAACATTTCGACGTTTTACTCTCATAATTACATCTTGGTATGTCACAATTTAGACGTTATCTGTATCTCATCATTTCGACTTAAGTCATAAGATGTAATAAACTTCGACTTTTTAAATCTCATAATTATGTCATAATTTTACCTTTTCATCTCAATCAACTTAGTATTTGAGTTTGTGTCGTATGACTCATACACTCACACAAGCTGTAATCTGATGACTGACTGAAGGCATGAGGATATCACATTAAAGGGTTCACCCAAAAATGAAAATTAAGTCATTAATTACTCACCCCCATGCTGTAAGACCTTCGTTCATCTTCGGAACACAAATGAAGTTCACGAGATTACATGTTAATGAAATCTGATGTAATATTAAAATGCGTATTTGGCTTGCTGTCCGGGGCAGGGCTGAGCTCAGAATTCGGCCCGACCCCAGAGTACTCCTAACTTTAGAGATCATAGCTGTCTATGAGTGGACCCAGCCGGGGTGGTGGTGGGATGCTGGGAAATTAGTCATGAGACAGGAGGTAAGGGAAGGCTTCATTTATACTGGATTCTTCTTGTGCTGATTGGATGATTACCTGAACATGCTCCTCCCGAACTTTGTTACATAAAACGTCATATATTTTTGATTAAATTTGAGAGGTGGATCACTGCTACATAGACTCCTAAGGGAATGAAACTTGACGGCCTAGAAAGTCATTAAAGAAAATGTTTAAATCCAAGTGACTACAGTGGCTCAACTATAAGTTTATCAAGAGACGAGAATACTTTTTGTGCAAAAAACCCCATAAATAACGACTTTATTCGACTATTCCATTACTTCCTTGTGGGCCTGAGACGAGAACTGAGATGAGGACGTTCTTCTTCGACTACTTCCTGTTACCGGCTGCTCACCGCTTAGGAGTATTACCGCCCCCTACTGTATAAGATGACGTGCCGGAAGCGCAAAACTTTCTGTTTACAAGCAGAGGAAGAAGCGCGCTGTACATACGCTTTTCAATTAGACACTTAATGTGCTGTAGGTCTCGCTATATTATATACAATGGTTAAAAAGTGCATTTGCAGGATGGGTTAGGGTTAGAAGAAATGCCTCGCGCACTTCACCCGCGCACGCCTTCACCCGCGCATGCCTTCACCTGCACACCTTTACCTGCACGTCTTTTCCGCTGCGTTGATTGGCTCGCTGGACGGATGCTGCGACGTATGAGTCAATTTTGCATATAGAAAAGGAAACGAACCCTATTGTGGCCTTCTTTAAGTTGTTGTTATTTTCAGGTGTTTACGGTGGAGGAGATGATGCCTCATGTGGCTCATCTGAGCGGCGCGGTCACCAAGAACCTGTTCCTGAAGGACAAGCGTAAGAAGAGCCTGTGGCTGCTGAGCGTGCGGCACGACCGGCGGCTGGACCTGGGCGAGGTGTCTCGGCGTCTGGGGCTCGGCGGAGGGAACCTGCGGCTGGCGGACGAGGCTCTGCTGCTGGAGACGCTGCGTGTGCGGCAGGGCTGCGTGACGCCGCTCGCGCTCTTCTGCGACTCCGCCCGCAGCGTGACGGTGGTGCTGGACCAAGACCTGACCCACGGCGCACACCAGCGGCTCTATTTCCACCCCATGACCAACAGCGCCACCATGGGGCTCAAACCTGACGACCTGCTGCGCTTCCTGAGGGAGACGGACCACGAGCCTGTCCTGCTGAACCTCGACTAACACTAGCCGCGTTTACATTACAGATTTGGGAAAAACTGTTGCGATATTTTCTAAATGTCAATAAAAAACTATTGGGAAATGATGGATTTTCCATTAACCGAAGTTATGCACATGAAACATTATTTTTTACTCTCATAAGTCAAAAAAAATCATGGGAACGGAACGGATGCGGCTAGGTTTACGTATATCAGCCGCTGCTCTAGCCATTATTAGTAATGGAAGGAGACGTAGGTGTGTTTTCCAACATTAATGTCAAGAAAAGACCCTTACACTGGGAGCGGCACGTATGAGGTGTTTCTGGGTCAGTTCTGCTTCAAGCTCTTGATAAACTGTGGCATTTCTTTGTTGTTTAGAATCTAGTATTCCCATAATTCCTGAACTTGTATGAGTTTAATAAAGAACTCTGTCTCGGCTCTTGTCTAAACATACCGTGCCTTCTGTAAAGAATGATCATGTGGCTTTTACGTACGTCAGGTGACTGTAAATGCACAAAAATGTTTCCATTGCAGTTTCGCAAAAGATTCCTTTTTTGAATTGTCTAAAAAACCACCTCATATGAACTAAAAACTTTTTTTGTGATAAATGGTAGATTTTGGAAAAATGTACGTGTTTTCATTGGGTGTATTTTCAATTTCAATTAGCGCAACTTTGAAGGGTGATGGAAACGCGGCTATTGTGACACTAACTACATTACTAACATTACTGCTGCTCTCCTTCTGGACAACTTTACTGTATTTACTGAAAGATTTTACAATCACTAGGACGCATTTCTCTACATTCAGGTCAGTTTTTCTAAACTCTTTACATCGTTCTCCTGACCATCTGTCCTGTGCAGGAAAACCACCAAAACACATCAGTTATCAAGGCGTTCTTCCTTGAGTTTAGTAGGAATGAAAAATAAGTGGTCCATCTGATTGGAACGTCTCATATTTGGGTTTCAGTCACATGGTCAGGGAAAGAATAAAAGAAGATTTTAACTGTTGCTCTCTCTCTCCCTCAGGTAACATTTTACATATATGCTGGGTACAATTAATGGTATAAGTCTATTTTGTAACTATTTTAAGTGTAACCATAACCATATTGTCATTTGGTCTGAGTGATTTGAAAGATGTGGTTATTGAATGCATTTAGTGCCAGTGATGAATGATCTCGTGTATCCCACACTGACTGATGTTGATCTCCGTGTCAAGTTTAGAGAAACGAGTTCTACGACTGTAAACAACGTGTTCACTGCTCCATCACACAAACACATCTCCCGTTTGTCATATTCTCGTCTTCTTCTGTTTCTCACAGTGGAGGAAACACACACACACGACAGAGAGTTCATCGCATCAAATTACTTTATTAACAGAGGAATGAAGCCGGATGAGACGTTCACACAGGAAACACTGCTGTGTTATCAAGTGGCGTGTTATCTCTACGCATTTTGAGCTATCCGCGTGTATGTCTACGCCATTAACGTCCGCGTCATACCGCGTGTCTGAACACGCCGTCAAATGTCCAGTCATAAATGCCATTATAACCCCAGTGACGGTTAAGTTTAGGGATGGGGTTGAGGTAAGTCATATCTTTTTTTTCCCTAGGATGGTGAGGGAACAGTCATAAATGCCATTAACCCCAGTGACGGTTAGGTTTAGGGACGGGGTTGAGGTAAGTCATATATTTATATAACGTTAAGTCAACGACGTTCATAAACACGCTGAAAAGCGATTATGCGTCTTGATAGCACGCCAAAAATGGAAATTGGGGTGTCATACACACGCTACTTCATGAGATCAGTCTGCACATACTCACTCAACACTCACACATACTCCGTCCAGCATCACTCTTTAAAACACACTCGTCCCGTATCTTTAAAACACACTCGTCCCGTATCTTTACAACACACTCGTCCAGCATCACTCTTTACAACACACTCCTTCAGCCTCACTCTTTACAACACACTCCTTCAGCCTCACTCTTTTGTTACGGAATCCTTTGGG